AAAGAGAGGAAAAGAAATGCTTACATCAAAAACACTAGTACCTCTGTAACTGCTATGCATTTTTAATTTATTGTATGAAATTGTGCATCACTGTTCAATATCAAATCAAACAGCATGTTTTATTTTACAAAATCAACTCAGTGGCAAATACTTTAGTTCATAAAAACATCATAATGTAACAGACCCCTGCATAGCATGCGAAGACAACATCCACTGTACCACTGGGGATGAACTTGTGTTTTTCTTTGTCATTGAGTTGATTTAAAAAAAAAAAGCATATTATTTTAAGGCATATGTGTCAAACTAAAGGCTCGGGGGCCAAATGTGGCCCTCGTTGACATCTTATCTGGCCCCTAAGATGATATGTGAAATGTAAAATACTTCTATCTCTTTAATTTTTTTGTTTTCAATAATCTTTGATTACAACTGTCCAGATGACCTGACTGAAAATTGTTGGATTGTATACCTGGGTTATTGAGCATGGACTTTGTTGGCTTCGATTATAATACTGAAAGCACAACAGAGAACATCAAATGAGACCAATCAAACTCTTGTTGAGAAACCTGTAACCAATAAAATATGTTTGGTATCTGATTTGAGTTAGTTTGGCTTTTGAAATTGGCCCTTACTTTGAAAAAAGGTTTTAAGTTAGGCCCCCTTTTGTAAGTGAGTTTGACACCCTTGTTTTAAGGCAACAGATGAAAGGTATTGCATCAATGGTATGATTACACCTGAATGGCTATGTTTATGAAAACATTCGGACTTCGTGTAACTTAAGTTCATGAAGTTGAGCAATTGTCTTTTCAAAATAAAATCTTTCATAAAAAGTTTAGATAATATATACATTATAAATATATAAATAAGGAGTATTCTTTTACCAACATTGTATTGACTTTTCCACATAACTGATGTAATAGTCTTACTGTGATGATCTCCAGCCAGTCTTCTTCAGATATAAGTATACCACACTCTTCAGCAGGGGGGATCAGTTGTGGCTTGAATAATGCACATTAACTCTTCTCAGTACAAACTAAATGACTTTATCACTTAAGTGCTCTCTGACACCCAGTAATGCTGGGCTTCAAAGTAGCTGGGGGATGAGATACCATTTCCCAACATTACAGCCATTCAGCCAAGCAGTCTGGTTTTTAACTTGCAGTGCTTCTAGAAGAACTTATAGAATCCCTCCCCTTCTGGGAAGTTAGAACAAGCAGCTCTGTTTCATGAATTTGCTTTTATGAAGGTTATTGCAATTTTAAATACTTAAAATCCATTTTTTGTCACTAAAGCAACAGTATCATGCTTTTTTGCAAATTCTCCACCAAACAGTGTGAACCACAGAAAAAAGATGCTGCACTCACAATGCTTCGTTGCTTTGTGGCACGTGCCGAGATAATTTGACGCGTGATAAATAGTTGCACACTGCACAGCCTGCAACTTCTAACACTGGGATCATGTACTGCAAATGAAGGAACTTCCAATGTTCTAAAGACATCCGAGGCTCTCATTAAATTTAAATTAATGCTTCTGTTCCACTTTTTCAGTGTGCTAACCTCCTCAGTTTCCCTATATTGTGCTCTATAGCCATTCCAGAAGTATTTTCCCCAGATAGCATCCTGTGGTACAGATTGCTGTGGATACATGGCATCCTCATTAGCATGACTTACCCGTTCCTCTTTCACACATTGGTACATGAAAGACCTAGTTTTGGAAGGACTAGTTTATGCAGTATCAATAAAGAGCAGACAATTCACTTGGAAGCATTATGTAATATTATTTATTAGCAGGGGTGGAAGTACTTAATTACAATTACTCAGATTACTGTAATTAAGCAGATTTTGGGGGTACTTGTACTTTTATACGTATTTCTTTCAAGTGTGTAATTTTACTCATACTTAAGTACAATTTAGGCCATATAATCTTCTTCACTACTTTTAAAATCAGAAGTCGCTTCTGAGTACGGCCACAATTTGAATTAATATTCAAACCGTTCATCTGTATCTTCGTAGCCAATAAGGCTCAGATCGTGAACGCGCCAATTACCTATGACGTAAGCAAAGGACAACTCCGTAGAGTAGAGAGTCATTTATGGACCAAAGATTTGGAGAAAAAGCCAAAATGGAGACAGAAGACAACCCTGTCAACAGAGAAAATGACGAGGTAAAGGCTGAAGACGAGTACCCGTGACCGTACCTAGAGGAATTTTTCATGTACAGAGGGCAAAAAGGAGACAGCGTCCAAATGCAAACTTTGTTTGATGTCTATGATGAAAGCAGCTTACAAGACTTCAGCATCTAATCTCAAAAAACATATTGCGGTATACAAGGTTTTACAGCTACTTGTATGATATTGTTTTTTTTATTGTTTGTATGTGTGGGTTATTAATTTGGCGAAGTCACTGCCATCAGTTTGACTGGTACTAAAATAAGACGGAGCTTTTGAGCGTCTGAGAAATGTGCTTTGAATGTAGCTATTATATACAGTAAATAGAACTGAATGCCTTCTATTGACAACACAATAAAACATCAATTGGTTAAAAAGTAATTCATACTCTGAGTAGTTTTTGAGAAGTGTACTTTGTACTTTTACTTAAGTATTTTTATAACACCAGTATCTTTATTTGTAATTGACTACAACTTAAGCAGTGTAACAGTACTTGTACTTGAGTACACCTTTTCAGTACTCTTTCCACCTTTGTTTATTTGTAATATATTATTAATATTACATGAATTGTTTGTGTTCCACCATAGACTAGTTGATTACAAAGTCAGTAAATGCTTACTATACATGTTTAAAAATATCATAAAGATGCTCATTTCAATACTGTATGTAGATGAAAAGTGCCATAAAGATCAAAACTTTTTGTTTGTTTTAGCAAACAAAAATACGTATCAAGTCATTTACTGAACTAGTGGTTTAAATATTTTACTGAATCAAGCCTTTTTTTTTTTTTTTTACCCAGATGCAAAACGATATATTTTGCCTAAATACTAATTTTTGCTGTGTGTATCATGTTGCTTATGGCTCATTTGTTTTTCAGATGATAGGGAAACGTTAAAACTGTTACAACTTGAACTGTTTTATTTGATTATGTTGCTTAATTATTATTTCCACATTGCTTAGGAGTCACGTGTTTTCTAGTCACAGTATGTCTGTTTAAAATGAGAGGGAAAAGAACCAGGAGCAGAAAAATTGCAGTAGGGTATCAGCATATGGCCAAACTTACAGCTTGAAAACTCCAGGGGACAAGAGTGCTCATCCATTGGGAAGTTGTTCAGTTTAAGCTGGCACTCAGCATCAATGGTCAACCTGGAAAAACACAAAATTGGCATTTACTAAGGCAAGGATGCTACAAAACCTATTCATGCATACTCAACAAATGAACCAAACACATAAACCTTACCCATTTTTACAAATGACACTGAAGCTACTAAATTAGATTTCACATTACATAAATTAAACAAAACCACACTTTTGTCATTGCTCGCATATGATGAGGTTGAAAGGCAAAGTCATTTAACTTCCTCTTAATGAGATAATGACCTTAAATGACTTCACCCATCCGTGCACTCACTTTTGTCAAGTATTGGCCATCCTAATTAAGTGGTGCTTAAGTTCTCAGTTTGCTAACAAATTAATGAAGTGGAAGTTGGGGTTCTGCACAGGAGACCACCTGTCATGGTTTGATTGAGTCCAATAAAATTTGATTTTACTTTTATCATCACACACACGTTATATACATTTTTTTTTTTTTTTTTTCAGCTGCTCCCTTCCTCTGGGGTCGCTACAGTGAACTAACTTGTATGAAGACTTGTCAATTGTTTTTATGCCGGATGCCATCCTGACGCAAACACAGACCACTGAGCTACCACAGCCTTATGTGTAGAGCAGGGAACTGCTATCTAGGGTGCCCTGGGGAGCAGATGGTGTTATTAGTATTATTTTTTTTCTCTGTGCTCTGGTGGAAACAGACGTGTCTCCCTGTGCTCTGTCTCCCTCGCTTCCCTGCTTGCTCTCTTTCGTCTTGTGAATCCTTACAGAGTCTCTCTTTTTTTTTTTTCCTGCATACCTTCCTAATTTGAAGGATTTGATCAGCTGGTCTCTCAACAAAATTGATCAACTTCTCCCGACAGGAATCAGGGTAAGGAGGACCCTCTTATGGAATAAAATTGGATTCACGATGACAGCTGGATTTTGCTGTTTGAGTTGGTGAAATCAGGATTGTCTACAAATTTGTGTGGATGTGTCGAAACTTGGATGCACTCAGACTGAATTATGTGGAGCTCTGTCAGAGTTGGAACAGGCTGTTATCAGGACTGTGAACTTTCTGGCAGCACCCATGAATGGTTGGGAATAATCTTGGAGAAAGCTGTGAGCTTGACTTTCGGTGTAAGGAATTAATTTGGCTGTTTGGAGTCACCATCAGAGAAATGTACCAGCGAGACTTTAAAAGGCAGAAATGGCAATTTACGAGTTCTGCCTGACCCAAACTGACATTGACGGCAGACGTATCTCAACTCCTCCTGGCATGTTAAGAAAAAACAAAGATGCTTTGTCTGTCTCCTCATCCCTCCCTTCCCCAAGGCCGTAGCCATGTGACGGACCTCAACCGAGCTGATGATAACAAACACCTCTTATCTGGACAATGGCTGAGAGGGGGGGGGGGGGGGGGGCTCTGTGGGGGGCTCTGAACTATGCTACGAATTCCCTTAAAATTCATTGTCTTCACCGGCCTATATGTACATGTATCATGCTGTGGTAGTTTTTTTATACAGTCTCTCCTCATGTTTTCTTCAGATTTCTCATCTAAGCAAAATATTAATCTGAATAAGAATAAGAAGGCTGCGCTTATGAGCAGCAGCTTTGTGCACTACGTCCATCTTTCTCGTTGTATCTCGGTGAAATGATAATAAAGCTTATTCTGATTTTTCTGATTCTGATTAAGGGCCTTGCTTAAGGGCCCAGGGTGGGGCAAATGAGGGTGAACACAGGTGTGGGTGTTTCACCTTTTCACCCACATTTTGATGTTGTCCGTAGTTTATTTAGTGGAGTAGGTTAGTCCATTTTAGAAGATGTTTAAGTATATACATTATGTATCCATTATGAACTAAGACATTCTGACTTCCAATTTCAAATGGAATTCACCATATCTGAAAAGTCATCATTTTAAATCTTTCCTGAAAACATTTTTTTAACAGATAAATGAACAACACAGTTGTTTGTAGATCATGTATTACCTCACCTCAACCAGCCCTGATGTCTCACCTGAGGGTGTATAGTATTCTTCCATCATTCCAGATCCTGAGCATTCGATTGGGTGTGGTAATCCAATGGGCGTCAGCTTTTTTTGAGTTACGAAAAAAGGTGTCTGGGATCCAGATCTTTCCAACCATGTTGCTGTTGAGACGAAGGACCTTCATCGTGCTGTTAAACTTTAATCTTCTGTCATACCAAGTCTGAGCGAAAAATATGTCGATGGTATATTCCTGACAAAATAAACACAGTTTTTTGTTTCCTTAACAATAACCTTAAGGTCCAAACAAATAAACAAACAAATAAATAAAATGAAACAAAGGTACATTGTCATTACTGTTCTGGCTTAATATTTTTTATATATATATATATATTATTGGTCAGTATTATTCAATTCAAGCTCCATCACGAAATCATATGGAAAAAAAATCCTTCACTTTCTATCAAAAGTGAGCATTTTTGTGCCATGAAAAGCAACTTGAGTAAAAATTATTCCCCTGACCCCCGGACTACATTATGTTTATTCAGGCCTAACAGATCTTTTGTTCCTGTCGAAAACAAAAACAAAAAAACAAACAATCAAACTAAAAAAAAAAAAAAAACTGATTTGCAGACGATCAGGTGTAGACTTCATAAAAAGTTATTACAAAGCTTTGGAGAACAGTCAGACCCACAAAGAGCCAATGCATCACAAGTACATAATTTATTAGTGTGTTGTCCTTTGCCCCAGGTATTCTGATCTGTTCTAGCTTCCTGAAATGAAATGATTAGTTTTATAGAAGCTCATCAAAGGGCTGTCCCCACTTCATCTCTGCTCAGAGTAACTTAAGTCAACCCATCTGAGTCCAGGGGGAAAAAATAACATGCTCTCAAGGTCTTTTGCGAATATGGGTGATAAGCTTGTCTATTACTATCCCTGTCATTCTACCAACACTGATACCAAAGCACCAAATATCATACCATTCAGATCACAATGACACTGAGTCAAATAAGGAAATATGACATGTACAGTAAAATTATACTGTAAAATCCATATATTGCAATTTATCAATAAATAATGTATTTCTTACACAGTTCCTAAACGAACTATACTGAAATAGGACAGGGCAGGTTTGACTGAAGACTACCAAATCGTACAACCAGATGATGTAGCAGCACATTATCCTGAGCATTTTCTCCTTTTCACTGATTTTGTTGACTTTTAGTGCATACAAAGGTTTATGAGTGACAGAAGCAAGAAATAACTGAACAACTAGGAAGTAGGAAAGATCTACCATTTTTCTTGGATTAGTACACCATCACTTATCCACTCTCCAACACTTGTGAGATGTAACATCACTGTAATTCACAGATTCACTATTCATAACGAATACATCAAAATTGCATCTGTGTTCTCTGAAGATGCATACCCCCTCACCAACCATCTACTTATTACTCAAAGAAATACCAGCCTCCACTGTATCATTGTGTGAACATACTTACACAACGACAGGCATTATATATAAATAGAAAACCATCAGTCAGACAAAACCATAACATTTCATGTCAGCAGAATGCTACCCTCCCCCACACACAGACACATGCACACACATTTGCTCACTGTCCCCATCCACACTATTATCAACAGTAAAAAGTGGATGTGCAAGTTAAGATTAGGAGATATGAGACATTGCAATCTTTCTCAGAAAATCTTCACAATAAAAACATTCAGGACAAGTTTAAATTCAAAAGTCTTCCATTTACATTTAAAGTTTAACTTAGACACCAATCCAGCTTTACATTAAAGCATGATAGAATGTGCATATATATCTGTGTTCTCTGAAGATGCATACCCCCTCACCA